AAATATGGGAGCAACTTTTTACAGGTTTTTAATTTAACGTACACACACAAATTTTTTAGAATTTATACACTTTTCATTGCATAACTTTTAGGCGTCATTATTTGGCAAAGTTTGAAACTGATGGCGAAAGAATAACGACATTCCTCGAGCATATAAGGGAAGTTTACCCTGGATATCAAGATGGTGTATTAAGGACGGGTCTTTTCTTAAAGGTAATAGATCCAATAACGGAAAATTCAAGCCATACCATCAAAAAGAGAAAAGTCGAAGAAGAAATGGATATTATTATAAGCCAATGAGATTTTATTTGTTTTTTATTTTAGCCAAATTGTAGTTAGCCAATTTTTATGAATTAAGTATATATGTAATTATACAATGTTTACAAAGAATTTATGCGATTATTTACAGATTATTTGATAAGACACAAACTCATGTATATATTGTATTAGCTTAGTATTATTTTCAATAGAAATATTGATTGCAATTCCAAATGAAAATAATAAACAAATTGTGGCCTTTCGAACTCGGAACTGATAAAGATTATTACTTCCAACTATCTTTTTTATATTTACGTTGCGTGGTCAGAAAGAAATTTAGAAAACGTTTTAAAAGAAAAGGCAATAAATACGAGGGCATGATGACTCTTTTTTTATTAACAGATTTCATGTAGATAAATAGTTTGCAATGTTTAAAAGTTGGAACTTGTTTCAAATATGAGCTTTGTATGGTCCAGGGAGTTTTGATAATTACTTTAAATACCGTTTTTTGTATTGTTAGATATTTATTCAAAGTGTAAAGATATTCAGCCTTATCCTGAGTTTCGCCCGAAAACAAATTCACCCGAATTTTCATCCGCCCCTAGTAAATACACGGATAAAAAGAGAAAACAACCGGTTCGAAAAAAAAGAAACTCATAAGGCTAATTTAAGGGGTTAGAATCATAAGGGTCTAAGTGACATTTTTTGAAAATATAAGTTATACCCATATCTGTATAGTTAAATATAGTATTTATTTGGTGACAAAGAGTAAACATTCTTTGAATTAGTTAATTAACCTGCATTCATTTAGGCAAGAATCATTTCAAATGAATTTACAATAAGTAATTAACTTTAACTTTAATTATCTTAAAACAATGTCAGACCAACTTAGATCCTTTTGATTCTAACCCCTTAAATTGTGATAAACTATCGGGTCTTTTAATTTTTAAAGGTGGTTAATGGTTAAGGTATCTTTATATCGACGGAACTATTTTTCTGAGTTCTCCAATCAACTTAACTTCAACTTTAAAATACCCAAGGCGAATTTATACAAGGTGGTGTTACTGGCGAATTTAGATTTTCGCCGCAGTACTTCCTAATGTCAAAATGATGTGTTTGTTGTAATATGAATTCGCCTTGTTTACTATTACAATTATGTCAAAATGATGTGTTTGTTGTAAACACGGTGAGTTCTTATCTTGAGTTGTCTTGACAATATTGTCCGGTGTAAACCCTAACTGCCGTCCCTAAATTGGAGCGCCAAGCGTTGCGTTATCCACTGTCAACGAGTGTCAGCGCGCGCTATCCCCAAATCAACGCGTCGTAATTTTTGACGTTTTCTCAGGTCCTCTCGTTTTTGTTCTCGTTTCCTCTTTTACTTTTTTTGTCCTTTCTCTTTATTTCCGTCTTCTGCATCCAACTTCAACACGTAACGCCCTGTCAAAAATGAAAATTCCATTTGCTCGGCGTTTCGCGTTATTGTGGGATGTTTCATACAAATTGTATGGGCATGAGGATTTTTGACAGTTGCTTGGCG